AAACTTAAACTATATGGGTAGGTACATTCTTATTAACTTAATTAGGGCACTCCTAAGCTGGCCTTTGCTAAAAACTCAAGGGGCCAAAGAGCCTCATGTGGCTCGCGAGCCGCAGTTTGCCAACCACTGACTTAGCACCATGTTTTTAAGGGTCACCCATGCTGTAGCATGTGTCAGTACAAGTCTGGTTTTGAACATGCTGAATTTGAGGCATTTTAAGGACACCCAAGTGAGGGTACCTGGGAGGCAGCAGAAATCTGGGGCTCTGGAGAGTAGTTAGGGCTGAAGACATCACCAGAGGTGATAGCTGAAACCGTGGGAAAGATGAGGGCAATCAAGGCAAGTATAAACAAGGAATAAACAATGAGAATAAAGAATATAACACCAGGGCCTGGCCAGCAGGGCTCAATGGTTGATCATTGACCTATGAACCAGGAGGTCATGGTTCGATTCCCAGTCTCATCACATGCCCAGGCTGCATGCAAGAGGCAGCTGATCAATGATTCTCTCTCATCACTGATGTTTTTAACTCTCTCTTTCTCTCCCTTCTTCTCTGAAATCAATAAAAATACATTTTTTAAAAAGAATATAACACTAGGGAATGCTTGCATTTTTTACGGGTGCGTGGAAAGAAACAAATCCCTAAGACAGAGAAGGCAGAGAAGTAGGTAGTGAAACCGGAGGCTCCAGATCACAAATGTTTGAAGGAGATGATGCTCCTACGCCACGCTTTTGCCCCCTGGTACTTCAGTTTGAGGGACAGAGAAGGCATAGAACTGATTTTTGTTCATTTGTCTGATCTTGGATCCTGTTCGAATCTTTGTACTCCATGACTTTCAAGGTGTTTTTTTTTTCCAACTCAAAAAGCCGTAAGTCCCAGTACGTAACTTCCTTCCTGCAACATCTTTATGCTCTCTCCTTTGTCCCCTTCCCAGCCACAGACAGAGCTCTGATAGGTACCCAGCTGACAGTATCTGAGGACTGGCTGCTAGAGAATCTCTGATGCTAAGGACTTCCATGTCTTCCTGACCAAGTGCCCAGCTGCTGAGTGCTCAGAGGCAATGTTCCAAGAGGTGGCCTCATAATTCTTACTAAGTTCTCTGTCCTATTCTGGTATGCAGTCTGACTCTCGAGAGTTTCTGCAAACTTTCTGTGATGAGAACAGGATATAAAAGAGGGGCACTTGTGAACGAGAGTGGATAAAAGATGATGAGCCTTGCCCGGCCAGCCAGCGTTGCTCAGTGGTTGAGTGTCAACCTATGAGCCAGGAGGTCAGGGTTCGATTCCCGGTCAGGGGGCATGTCCAGGTTTCAGGTTCAATCCCCAGGGTGGGGTATGCAGGAGGCAACTAGTCAATGATTATCTCTCAACATTGATGTTTCTATCTTTCTTCCTCTCTCCCTTCCTCTCTGAAATCAACATAAGTGTGTGTGTGTGTGTGTGTGTGTGTGTGTGTGTATATTTTTAAAGATGAGCCTTATTTCAGGTGGTAACACACATTCCTCCAACCCCTTCATCTTTCAGCCTAAGCCCAGAATCCAATAGAAAAGAGGTGCAGTAAAAGGGAAACTGGGCGCCAGGATGGGATTGATATGACAAGTGAATGATGAATGATGAGAACGAATTTCAGTTCTGTACTTTCTTAATACCGTTTGGGAATCTTCCTACTCTGTAGGCAGCTGGGGAACCAAGGCGGCTTTAGGGACAGGGGGCCATATTAGGATCACATCGCCCCACCCCTCCATGAGACTGTTAGGTATCGGAGACAGGAAGCATGTCTGATGCACAGTAACCACACCGCACCACAGTGGAGCGTCACAAGACTCCCACACACGAGTGATCAGCCCAGCTACCTCAATACTGTAAGGGAGTGAGAAGTCCAGACAAAATCAATTGAAACCGTCCTGGTGGACTGTGAGGCATGGGAGAAGTTCCAGAGTACCTAGATTAACAAATTGATCACACAACCTTAATTAATCTAGCTGGTGATCTAATAATGAAAAGAATGAAGTTCCTATTAGGGCAAAATAGCCAAAGCAGTGAACAGCTGCTGCTCAGAATAAGGTTCCTCTCCAGGAAGTAGCTTCAAAGTGCCCTCTAATGCTGGACTTGGGATGCAAAGTGATGTAAATGGTACCTCTTACCCAGTAAGCCCATTTGAGCAAAAGTGCCCCTAGTCTAAGAGAAAGGAGAAGCAAGCAACATTAGAAGAAAGAGAAGACTCCAGGCCTCTACCTCATGAAGGTTGAGGTAAAATGGCATACTACGTCTAAATCATCAGTTTATACACGTAGAATGGGGTTTCAGCACAGTGCTATGGGGACAGCTCTAAGGCTAAGAAAGCCTTAAGTACCTTGGTTCCCACTAACCAGACGAAAATATATTAAACACACACACACACACACCTCTAAGGCCAAGTAAGCTTTAAGACCTTGGCAGGAACAGAGCAGCTGCAATGCCTCATTACTTTTTCTAAAGGTCAGGAGAGTGTGGAGCCCAGCTATTAAGTAGGGTGCTGATAGTAGGAAGCCTGATTTCATGCCGTACTTGTGAAGTTATATGCCTTGTTCAAACACAATCTATAAAAGTCTGGCTGTGCTGGCTTGCAGGCACTGTCAATAGGCAGACTGAACAAACCCATGTCAAAGTAGCTACGATACAAAGGTATATGAAGTAGCATCCAGAGGGTTACATCTAAGAAAAACAGTAGAAGACACTAATTTTTTTTTTAATCCAGTGTATTGGGACCACCTCTAACATACTCAGATGGCAGTAAAAGGCAATAGGAGGACAGGGCCATGACCTGCACTGGCATTAACCACAACAGCTACATTTTAGATGACACAAAAGCCAGGCCAGTGTGGCTCAGCGACTGAGCATCAACTTATGAACCAGTAGGTCACAGTTCGATTCCCAGTCAGGGCACATGATTCCCAATAATTCAGGAGGCAGCCGATCAACATTCTCTCTCATTGATGCTTTTATGTCTCTATCCCTCTCATTTCCTCTCTCTCTACTTTAAAAATATATTTTAAAAAAAACAGACACAATTAAAAAAAAAAAAAAGCCTAAGCCCTAAAGATTAGAGACCTGCAGCTGGCTGTGGCTTCTTCTAGAAAACACTCGTCAGGGCCTAAGATGAAGGCTTGACGTCTGGTTTCTATTTGCTGCTAAGCAAGGTCAACGTGGTCTGGAAAAATTGGGTGGTCAGTAGGAACAGGGCAAGGTGAGGCAAAGACAAGAATGATGAAATGGAGCAAGTCCAATGAGTGTATAGAAAGCACAGGCTGAGGCAGGCAGTCAAGTAAGCACTCGGGAGCCCCAGATCATGGAAAGAATAGAGGTAAAAATGGAATTAAATGAAGCTAACACTCAAAGTTCAGTAAAGAACGAACAGAAAAGAAACACATAACATGTACCTGAAGCTCAACCCTAAAGTTAAGGAAAAGGCTAGCCTCAGCCTTCCTCCTCGAGTGGAAATCAATGACTAGCTTCCCTGGGACTATGCAGGCTGCCACATGTGATTGGGGATAAATATGTAGGAAGGTCTGCTGCAAAGAAATCTGCCACACAAGGCAGGGAGAGAAGCAGCACCTCAATCCAACAGCAGGGAGGGGATACAAGAGGGGAAATTATAGCAATTTCACTCCATTTTTAAAGTAGAGATGACTTTCATAACACCTAGGATGACATACACAGTGAAATTAGAAACCTCTTCAAAGGTACTCAATTACAATTAGGGGGTGATAGAGGTTCAGAAGGTATTATATCTAATTTTAAAACTTTTTTAAAAATCAGTTGTCAACTCCATTCTATTGGTCCATTTTTAAAAAAACAAGTTTTACTAAAACCACTAAGCAAGCTCAGTGAAAAGGCTTCACAGGTATGAGTATTTAAGGAGACATTTATGGTTAATAAATTTATGAAACCACAGTTGGACTATTTGATAGCAACAGTAAATATACTGATATTTCTCAGAAGAAAATGTTAGCCCATAATTATAAACAAAGATTAGTAAAAATATTGACAAAATAACCTCCCGTAACTGATATAATGCTATTATTCTCATTTAAAATATGTATAGAATGTAATCTTATATCATATTGATGCTTTATTTTCAAATACCAATATGGCAAATTTAAATAAAATCTATCTACAACTAAAAGAGTATGAAATTCAAATGATCAAGTAAAGAAACTTTTCTAAAAATATTTATTTATTTATTTTAGAGAAGAAGGAAAAGGGAGAGATAGAAAGAAACATCAAATAATGAGAGAGAATCATTGATTGGCTGTCTCCTGCATGCCCCACACTGGGGATCGAGCCTATAATCCAGGCATGTGCCCCGACCAGGAATCGAACCATAACCTCCTGGTTCATAGGTTGACACTCAACCACTCAGCCATGCCAGCAGGACAAGAAACTTTTCATTAACATGAAGAGTTAGCATAAAGTAGTGATGCTTACACAGCATTCTGAATGTAATTAATACCATTGAATTATATACCTAAAAATGGTTAAAGTGGCAAAATTTGTTATATATTTTATCAAAATAAAGCATATATGAGTAGGGGCAAAAGAAGAGTTAGCATATTTTGCAATTATTCACCCCTTTTCTATAGTCAGTTCAATATTTTTTTGGTACTTAGGTAATTCACATTTTATAAGGCTAAAATATATCAATTAAAAATCTTTACCTGAATTTCCATTTCAAAAATGAATCATAGAGGAGATATTCTAAGGTAAAAAGTTTCAACAGCTGGCATATTAAAAATATTTGAGGTATAACAGCTAAACGCATTTTCAGATTAAATAGTCTCACAGCTCTATTACCACTGCTCCTTGAAGTTTTTCTGCCACTATTATACAATGAGTATTTCTGAAATGTAGGTTGTTTGCCAAGTCAAATTAAATTAAAAACTCAACTTATCTATTAAACAGAGATAATTTATGAGTTCCAAAGTCACTCAGTATTTTTAATGAATCATAATCCAACTAACCTTTTTCCTCCTCAGCAATCTTTCTCTGAATTTATTAGTGAAAAATCCCTTTGAACCAGCATACCGTAAACGCTGATATTTAGCCTGAATGTTCAAGCTCTTCTTTACTAGGCCTGATTTATAATGGGGCTGCAGTCTGCCACCTCTAAAGTAGTTCTGTAAAGGAAAAAAATAATTAAATCTTAAAACTAGAGCTTCCAAATCTACTTTATTAGCATAAGAAATGGAAAAATGTCTGGTATGTAGGGCTGCCCTTGATTCTAGGCACTACAAATATTAAAAGGGAAGAGGTTAATGATGGACATAAAGTACATTTTCCTCAAACTAGTTTCCTAGTTAATTTTTTTTAACTTTTTGCATTGATTTTAAAGAGAGGAAGGGAGGGGAGAGAGAGACAGACAGAGAGACAGACGGAGAGACAGACGGGGGGTGGGGGGAGAGATAGAGAGATAGAGATAGAGATAGATAGAGAGAGAGAGAGAGAGAGAGAGAGAGAGGGGGGGGGGGAAGAGAGAGAGAGAGAGGAAGAGAGAGAGAGAGAGAGAGAGAGAGAGAGAGAGAGAGAGAGAGAGAGAGAGACAGACACAGACACTGATCAATTGCCTCCCACACATGCCCGGACCAGGGATGGAAACTGCAACGTGGATATGTACCCTGACTGGGAATCGAACCCGCCACCTCTTGGTACACAGGATGATGCTCCAAACAACTGAGCCATGCTGGCCAAGGCTTATATAAAAATTTTAAAATTCACATAAAACCATTTTTTAAAACCGTTTTTGAAATTCTTGAAATTGACCATGCTAAGAAAAATACAACTTCCAAAACCTCTAATGAGCTAAAATTATCCTTCTTATTCATAGTGAAATATTACAAATCACAAATAGAGGGGAAGATATTAAGTATCAACGTCTTTTTAAAATTAAAAAATCTTAACTTGATTATTGTCAGTACCTTCCAAGCCAATATTTATTTCTTAATCCTCACCTGAGCATATGTTTTCATTGATTTGAGAGAGAGGAGAAGTGGGGAGGGGGGAGAGAGAGAAACATCGATGTGAGAGAGAACCATCCATCGGCTGCCTCCCCAACACACTCTGACCAGGAATCAAACCCGAAATCTTTTTGGTGCTCAGGACGATGCTCCAGGCAACTGGGCCACCTAGCCAGGGAAAACTCATCTTTCTTTAACATAAAAAATCCATTAGCAAATATTTTCGAGATAAGAATTATACTTCAAAAGACTGCCCAAAATTACAATAGATGTAAAATGACCATGAGTTGTTGTGTTTCCCATGTGAAAAATGTATAATGGTGTATAATAATGGAGAAATTATAAAAAATAAGTATATTCCTCTTTCCACAATTATTTAACAATGGGTATGGCATGCATAAAGAAGTATATAAGTTTATAAAAAGTATTTATGCCACACCTATTTTTCAGTTATTTTTTTAAGACTACAAAAAATTCGGGTAAAACAGACTTTTAATGAGACTGTAATTTTGTTAAAACTATCTGCATACTATTTACAATGTCCATTGTTACATATCTCATAAGGTGATTACTAATTCTGGCTTTGAATTAGTCCAATTAATATAAAAAGTAAATTTTAATCAACTTCTTTTCTTAGGAAGGATTATTTCCTCCTCCTGTTTTACTATAAAGGATTGTAGACTTCCAAATAATCATATAATGTTACACAGCTTCAAATGAATGGTCAAGAAAATTACTGCATATATTTTTTTAATTTATAATTAATGTCAATGAATTTTTCATTAAGGAGAAGGGATAACACGAAACAGCTCATAACAATTGTAGAAAAACACTACAATCCACTATATCTGACCAATGAACAGAACAACATGTAGGAAGCACTTAAATCTGAAAGTCCATTGACACAGTCCCTGAGCTATACAGACATCACATTTTCAGTTAATGATTTTATGCCTCAAGACATTAAAAGATGGTATAAAACGTGTCTATATTCTACGGCCATAGGTATTTTTGAAAACCTAATGTCACACGTGTTTTTAGCTACATGAATTACTGGCTAAAATACTATCTACTCCATGCCTACTAATTGTGTTGCTCCCAATGGAAAAAATCTCTTGACATCTAAAAATTTTGACTCTCAAGAAGCCTTGTATTAACAGATCACTCAGCTACCCTCCTACTCTATGGCTTGGCGACAGTTTATAATACCTTTCTGCTCATACTAACTTCCTACTGAGCCAACTACTCCATCCACCCTGCTTGCCCCTTTCACACACAAAAATCTCAGATTCTTCTCCTCTTTTCGGGGGAGGGAAGACACTGTGGGGTGAAAATATGAATAAAGTACCTATCATAAGCAGGAAAATCAGTCCAAGTGGATTTAAAAAGCACTTCAGCTTCTGAGAGCAAGCAAAGAGAAACACACTCCTTTGCACTATATTCTTATCCCCTACATCGGGGGAGGAGGTTATCTGGATAGTCAAACATGTTGGTTAATTAAAACGATCACATAAGACATAGCTGTACACGAAGAATGCAATGGAAAATCTTTAACAAAGCTTCCTGGACCAGAATCTTTCTCTGATGGTCAATCCAGAAGGCCTCTGAGGGCTGCATGTCTATGTGTGGGCAGGTTTTCTTTAATCTGTAAATCCTGGAGAAGGTTCTATAGCTAGGCACTTACGTCTTAGAGATAAAGGGACAGACTTAGAAAAAGGGCTTGGGACCTGGCCTGCCTCCCCACTGAAAGCCACTCTGGGTAATTTTTATGTATTTGTATTTCTATGTAATGCTTGTAAAAATGTTCCACTGGCTACAAAAAACAAAAAAACAAAAACGTTGAATCAAGTCCTGAGAAAAGAGGTCATCATTAAATTGATTAAATTTAACTCTAAGTGTCAGAAAGAAGTTTGTAGCTACTATAAACATCTTTGAATTTAGCCATTACTTAGAACATTATGTTCAAAGCATAAACCAAAAGCTAGAATTAAATGGAAAATACCACTCAATACCTTAGGAGGTCTAAAGCCTCTCATGTTTTGAGGGTTGCTCTGAACTTGAAATGCGTAGTGAATAATGTCTTTTCTCTGCATAGTATAATCCTGTGTGGAAAAAAAGGATTAGCATGGGTTAATTCATGTTAAAGTCTACTTTTAAGTAAACTGTAGGATGAAACTTCATTTTATCATTAAACACCCATTTTAAATGTATAGGATTAAGAACATAAAATATGTTGCATGTAGCTTAACTATAGGAACATACACACATCTTCCTTCACATAACCCATGCTAGTTTGTGAAGGCTAGTTTAATTCACGAACATGAGAAATGTAAAAAAAAATACTCCTGCATAACACAATAGGTAACTTTTACAAAATGGGACTAAAAGTGTAGGATTTATTCAAGCATGCAGAAGAGAATCCCCAATGTCTAACAAAACAAATTCCCAACACTACAGGAGGTAGTTTTGCTGACTCGGATCAATGATTTAAGTAAATGCTCCTGCCATGACTAGGAAACAATCAGAAGTCAGAGTATTAAGATAGTAACTACGAAGAACCTGAATCTTTTGGTGGGAACAGAAAAGATAGGGCCTATTCTGAAAGATGGTTTCTTTTCCCCCAAAGCAATCCTATATAATAAAAGGGTAATATGCAAATCAACCAAACGGCAGAACCACCGGTCACTATGACGCACATTGACCAACAGGGGGCAGACACTCAATGCAGGAGCTGCCCCTGGTGGTCGGTGCACTCTCACAGGGGGAGCACCACTCAGCCACAAGCAGGGCTGATGGCTGTGCTTGGCTGGCAAGCGCAGCTGCGGTGGAGGGAGTGGGCCTAAGCTATCAGGTGGACATCCCCTGAGGGTTCCCAGACTGCTAAAGGGCATAGGCCAGGCTAAGCAGACTTCCCCCTTAACCCTCCTCCCTGCTCCAGTGCACAAATGTCACGCACCAGGCCTCTAGTAGTCTTATAGCCTTCTCTTTATTCCATTTGAGTCTATACTTTTCACAAATCTACCTCTTTCATACCTTTACCTCTCTCCTCAGTTTAAAAAAAAAAGGTCACAGCCTGGCTGGCACAGCTCAGTGGTTGAGCATTGACCTATGAACCAGGAGGTCACGGTTCCATTCCAGGTCAGGGCCTGGGTGGCCGGCTTGATCCCAAGTGTGAGGCGTGCAGGAGGCAGCGGATCAATGATTTTCTCCCGTCATTGATGTTTCTATCTCTCTCTTCCTCTCTGAAATCAGTTAAAAAAAAAACAAACATTTTTTAAAGTCACATAAAACCCTTTTCATAGTAGTCATCTTGAATTTATACTAAGTCTATAAATTTGAATAAGTGCATAAAGATACATGCAATGAGATGAGACTTTCGGGGACCTGGGAAGAAGGGAAAGGATATGAATTACTGGAGGCCAGTGGGAGGACTCTACTGGCAGCTTCGGAGCAGGCCCCTATGCCACCCCCTTCCTTTGAGTGTGGACTTGCTCTTGCAAATAGAGTACTGTAGAAGTGATGAATGTCACCTCTGAGATTAGGTTACAAGCACACTCTGGCGTCTATCTTTATAGTCATCACTTGCTTGCTCTCATAGAGGCCAGCTGCCATTTGTGAACTGCCCTATGAAAAGGCAAATCTTTAAAACAAAAAATAGATTAGTAGTTAGCATGCCTAAGGGCTCTTATTGCGGTCACAAAAATGTTCTAAAACTGGATTACGGTAATGGTTACATATCTTGGTATAAAAAAATTATTAAATCATACACTTCAAACAGGTGAATTTCATGGTATGTAAGTTATACCTTAATAACATCCTGTGTTCTTAAGAAAGCTAGTACTATAATAAGTGCAATAAAATCCTGCTGAATCAAATAAGAGATGACCATTTCTTATGTCACAACTACATGCCTCAACAGAATCTTAATGTTAAACATAAGAATTATAACCCATACTTACTGAACAATTAGTTACAGATATTATAAAAAGTATTGGTGAACCCTGAACATGTAGATATAGCTGAGGAGGACAGAATGTACAAAATGAAAAATTTAGAAATGCAATCTTACCACATAAGGAGTCTGAATAAACTTTCTAAAATTCGGCTGTATAATACTTTGAGGGTATTGGAAGCTATCAGCATGAGATGGAAAGCAGGAAAACTGATTATTCCTAATAAAATGAGACAGAAAATAAGAATCTTTTATTAGTGTATCTTCACCCAACAAATAAACATGAAATCAAATTACCCCTTTCAGAGACCAAGTGGCACAACAGTAAAAATAATCGCAAATGATAGTTTTCAGGGTTCAAACCTTCACTTTTCAGCAAACATTATTTATCTGAGTGGAAGCTAGCAACGGGGGTAAAACAGTATTCCTTGGACCAGCATTCTCAATCTGGGGGCCCAAGGACAGGCCTCCCTTGACACCATGAGAATGTATATTTTCTTTCTTTCTTTTTTTTTAAATAAAATTTTGTTTTAAATATATTTTATTGATTTTTTTTTTTTTACAGAGAGGAAGGGAGAGAAATAGAGAGTTAGAAACATCAATTAGAGTCATAGATCAGCTGCCTCTTGCACACCCCCTACTGGGAATGTGCCTGCAACCAAGGTACATGCCCTTGACCAGAATCAAACCCGGGACCCTTCAGTTCGCTGGCTGACGCTCTATCCACTGAGCCAAACGGGTTTCAGCGAGAATGTATATTTTCTGAAGGTAGAGAATAACTGCTCTTGAGCCTTTGGCAGCATTGGGTCCCTCTTGCCGACAGACTTATTGATGAAAGCACCAGAGATGAGGTGTGTGATGGGCTCAAAGTCCCCTCATGACAGAGCTGGGGCCCCTGACACTGCTGGGTCACTAACGCTAAGGACAGCCCCCTCTACTGTCACCACTAGGCCCAGAAGCCCACAGGGCTCTTCCCAGAGAGGGCAGCCCTGTGTGGGAGGGAAAGGTCCTTTCCTAGCTTATCCTCCAGCCCTGGGGCCTCATTCCCACAGCCCCCGGAGTCTTCTCCCTTTCCATCTCACATCTCCCCACGTGCTCCTCGGACCCTTTCTGCTCTACAGTGGACAAATGCCTCACCCCTTGGCCCTGCTTTGTTCATCCCACAGGTCTCTGTCCCTCGGTGACATGGGGACAAAATCCACTCTCTTCATCGTGATCCCTGGGGCCCTTCTTGCTCTGTCCCTTGCTGCCTTGCCTGGCTGCCTCATTCCAATCTCCATCTGAAGCATGCACACAGAGCTTTAGGAATGTTTAGCTGCACGTGGCTCCTGGCAGTCTCTCCTGTTCCCCGGCCTTTGCATGTGCACTTCCTTCTGTTGTAAGTTCCTTCTAGCTTAGAGCAGCTTCCAGATTTAGCTCCACTTGCAGCTGTTCCAGGAAGGCTTTCCCAGACCCCTGCTAATTGCATATGTAGCATCTCAGGTCTCTATATGATCACTTACGTTTGTAACTTCTGGGGCACCTGTGTCACCCTGCAAGCTGAGATCCCTTCAGAGGAGGCACCGTGGATGGTTCGTTTTGTGGCCCCAGCTCTGACCCCAGAACCTGACATGAATTAGCCCCTCAGGGTTTTTTGAAATGTAAAAAAAAAAAAAAAAAAAAAAAAAACCACCAAAAACCCACAAAAATAAAACCCCACCCTATGTTCTGTCAAAATGCTCTTGATAATGATAGTAAATAAAAAAAAAAATAGGGTGCAAAGCCACATCATAAGGATAATTTCAATTTTTTAAAATATACATATGCCCAGAAATAAATGATAGAAAATGTACTAAATATTAACAGTGGTCATCTCTAACTAATTAAATCAAGAATGTCTTATGTTTTTGTTTTTCATTTTTGTTATATTTTTTCAGATATTTACTACTAGCATGTCCTACTACTTCTATAACCAAAATGATGGACTTTAAAAGATCTTCTGTGCAAAATGCATATCTGATAAGGGCGTGGTATCCAGAATTATAAATAACCCTTACACCTCAATAATACAAATACAACAATCCAATTTTAAAATGGACAAAGGATTTGAATAGAGTTTCCAAAGAAGACAGAAAAAGCACATGGAAAGATGCTCAACAGCATTAGCCATTAGAGAAATGCAAATGAAAATGCCAATAAAATAGTACTTTATACCCACTAGAGTGGCATAATAAAGAATATGATAATACCAATGTTCACAGTAGCCAAAAGATGGAAACCCATATGTCCATTAACAGAAAAACAGATAAACAAGATGAGGGTAGCATGTACCTTGGTTGCAGGCACATCTCCAGTAGGGGGTGTGCAGGAGGCAGCTGATCGATGATTCTCTCTCTTCGATGTTTCTAACTCTCCTATCTCTCTCCGTTCCTCTCTGTAAAAAATCAATAAAAATATATTTTTTTAAAAATATTATGGTGCATGAAAACAGTCACAAAAGGCCACATATTATATGCCTGCAATTATATGAAATGTCAAGAATAGTCAAAGCAAAACGAACAAAAGTAGACTAGTGGTTGCCAGGGGCGGGGCGGAGGGAGATATCAGAAGTGACAACTAATGGGTATAGGGTTTCTTTTGGGTGTGATGAAAATGCTCTGGAATTACATAGTGGTAACAGTTGTACAACTTTGTGAGTATACTAAAAAAATACTGAATTGTTCGTTCACTTTCAAAGGGTGAATTTTATGGCAATATCTCAATTAAAAAAACACACAAAACTTCATGGTTCCACTACACCACCATCTGACCCAGCAAAAGACATCTTGCAGGAAAAAAAATCTTTGCATGCCACAACACTATCCTCAAAGCTAACAATGACATAGGTATCACTGACCAGCTACTCTGGACCTTGCATGCATCACTCTACTTAGCCTTAGCCACCACTGTGAGGTAAGTCTCATTCTTATCTCTGTTTTGCAGCCGAGGAAATATAGATGAAATATATTGTTTAACGTCAGTCACTACAGAGCCAGGCGTTGAATTCAATGCTCAAAGGGTGAAGATATATTCTGAAGCATTCATGGTCTTTATAATATGATTATCTTAGTTTTAAAATCCTCTTTCTTGGTACACTGAGTCTCTTACACTTGCTGAGTCAAGAAAAGCATGAGAGCTTGTATCACTAAATAGCAGTCATGCTGTGTTATCTTAGGAAACTGGACACTTTCACCCACCAAGGAATGAGATTTAAACTTTAAAAAAACATATGCTTTTTTTTATTATTATTTCGGAAAGGAAGGAAGAGGGAGAGAGAGAATGATGAGAGAGAATGATAAGAGAGAATCATTGATTGGTTGCCTCCTTCAAGCCCCACAGTGGGGATCAAGCCTGCAACCTGAACCATCACCTCCTGGTTCATAAGCCAACGCTCAACCACTGAGCCTCGAAGGCTGAGCTACTATTTTACTTTCAATTTTTTATATGCCTCAATACAGTTTTGCTATCTTTTCATTGGCCCCAAATTTATTGTCAGAATCAAGTCCAGTTTTAAACAAACTCCATATATTTTTACTTAAGACTTAGTTAATCATAGACTTGACTTAAAAGTCTAGTCAAGCCCTAGCCTGTTTTGCCCAGTGGTTAGAGCGTCAGCCTACAGATGGAAGGATCCCGGGTTCAATTCTGGTCAAGGGCACGCGCCTATGTTGTGGGCTCAATTCCCAATGGGGGACTTGCAGGAGGCAGCCAATCCATGATTCTCTCTCATCATGGATGTTTCTCTCTCTCTCCCTCTTCCTTCCTCTCTGAAATTATATATATATATATATATATATATATATATATATATATATATATATATATATATTTAAAAGTCTAGTCAAATATCAGTAATTTGACACTAAGGACCATGGAAAGGGAATCAGCATTTGCCTTTTCTAGTCATATATTTACATTTTCTGGGTGATCCAAATAGCATGAGGACTATTAGGGTGAACTGGAAATTTTGTCCCATTCAATTATACTACATAATCACATGGGCTCCCACCATTGCCATGAGTTCCACATAGTTTTTAGAACTAGAAATGAACTTGGGCCATCCTACAATACCCAGATCCCCTAAAAAGAGGCATTAAGTATGGGGAAAGAAAAACAAGAATCTACTGCCAATCAATTGTCAGTAGATATATTTTGCATGTACCAGCCCATTTACTATTCTAACTTCTCCACTGCCAATTAAGTATTCTCATTTTAGAGAGGAAACTAAGCAAGTATGTCCAAGAGCTTACAACCTGGCAGAGGTGGGGTTCAAACTCCGGACTCCTTTACATTTTCTTTTCTTTTTTAAATATATTTTTTATTTATTTCAGAGAGGAGGGAAGAGAGAGAGAGAAACATTAATGATGAGAGAGAATCATTGATCGGCTACCTCCTGCATGCCCCCTACTGGGGATCGAGCCCACAAGCTGGGCATGTGCCCTTGAACGGAATTGAACCCAGAATCCTTCCATCAGGCCAACGCTCTAGCCACTGAGCCAAACCGGCTAGGGTTCCTTTGCATTTTCTACTACACCTGCCTGTTTTATGGTCAGACATTCATCAAGAGTTCTGAAAGAGAACTGCACTGACCTCAGCAAATTTAGCAATATTCAAAGAATACCAGAATCTAAAGGGCCAAATGAAATGTGTCCAAGTTTGAATCAGCTAGAGCCAAATAATCCATAAACTTGTTGGTCCTGGCTCTTGCTAATATTTAAAAAGCTGTTATACTCCTTTCTCAAATTATCAAGGCCGCAAATATTCACCTGCTCCTCATAATTCTTGTTGTTTAAATCAAACAGCATATGAGGATCAGTGAATAACTTTTAATACATCCTACCTAAACATATAAAATAGATTAGAAGGATTAAATCCCTCCGCTAAAATGAAAATTATCACCACACACAAAAAATTGAAAAGTATACACTGATACCAAAAACTCCCTGATAACAGGATGTTTTTCATCTACTGATTACCTCTCTGCAGCAGTATCTATGTGAAAACTGTGCTCATCTTCATTCTGTAACCGTTCCTTTCTCCTTCTTTCAATGTCATGTCGTAGGTCATTTGGATCTATTACTTTGACCAGAGTCTGAGGAATTATGACAGAAGACAAACCATTCACATTGTTAGTTGCACAAAGACCATATCTAAAAAGAACCTTAAGTAAAAGTCCTAAATAAGTTACCTTGTACTCATCCTACTAATTGTAGTGCAAACTGATAAAAATATTATTAGCTCCAGAGTAAGTAAAGCTTATGGCACTGAAGCAGGAATCCCACTCTGGGACTCTATCCCAAAAGAAAAGGCTATCTACCCAAATATTTTCAAAGTGCTATGTTTAAAATAACAACAACAACAAAACAATGGAAAGCAACTTAAATATTAAAAAAATTAAAGGGGAAGGGAAGAATGATTTTATGGTAAATTTAAGTCAAAGGAATAATGTACGAGCATTTAAATTATGCTAATGTGGAAGTTAGCATAGAAAAACACTGAAAAGTGTTTGAAAAAAAATTTAATTGAAACTTAAAAGTCTCAATCATAAAAGGGCTTGGGAATTTAGAGCTTTTTACATAAAAAGTATTACTACAGTTTAAAAAGAAAAAAAGCATGGAGAACTGCCTATCCTATGATAGTGACTAGGCTAAAATGCCAGATGTAGGACTGCCCAAACCAGATTTTGTGTTAAAGGTAAGAGGATTTTTTTTTAGCCTCTAATTTCTAAAAACCCTCAAATTTCCTTTCAGTTGATTACAGTACTTTGATAAGTAGAAATTTTCTGAAAATTTCAATTATTTAATAAACTAACCTAACTCCTTAAGTTCAATAAAAATTGTAACCATTCACAAGTAAAACAATTATTTATTATTCTATCAGAAATGTATTAAATTCTCCCCTTAACAAAAACTCTTTACTCTCAATGAATAAACCAGCAGCTCTTTTAGAACTTAATATACTTCTAAAATAAGAGCCAGTTTTCTTCCCCCTTGGCTAGTTAAGATAGCTTTTCTAATTAGCCAAGAAATGGGTGGGAGTGATGGGAGGCTTGGGGTGAGAACCACCACACACAACAGATGACAATAAAAAAAAGTCAGTATTACTTCCATTATTTTTCTAGTTCATATTCCATATGCCCTTTCACACATTTTACAATAAACAGAAGGGCAATATCAAATAAAACTAAGTGCTTTTGCATTCTACTCTATATACAACTTAAAAATACATTATGCAAGTATACTTTGGAAAAACTAGGTATCAAACATACTTTCTAGAAGCTTTGCAGTGTAAAGTTTTGGAATGAATATTAAATGTTCTAATTTTGTGTCGATTTTACAAAGCTGTTGCCTTTAGGGACTGTCTCTCTTGTCTTTTGTCAGTTGTATTTCTACAGCCTGGCCAATAACTAGGATCCCATGGAGAGCTTTGTAAGTTTCAGATTCTAATTTCAATCCTTATTCTTCATCTACTTTAATTCCCTTATTGTTACTCCCAATCCCCAGTTCCCTTTCCTGTTCCTTATGCCAACGATAAAATCATCCCTCAACAAGAATTGTATCCACTTACCTGTTCTGAACCACATACCGTATTTTTATTCCGAAGCTCGGCCAAACACATGTCTATTTTCCTAAAATAATAAAGGCATATTACAATCAAATAATTATGTTATACCCTGATACCTCGATTCCATTACTACAGAATGGAATTTGAAGTAAAACTGGTATGTCTTGGAGGAAGCAAAAGAAACTTGCCACCAGGTAGTTCTTTATCTATGTGGCAGTTTCCCAAGACATACATGTCCTTTGAACACCCCAGAGACACCTTAGTGATTCTCAAATCACGAGTCTGTATAACCTCAAACTTAACTCCAGTGATCTGCTGCAGTCTAACATTGATTCAACTCAGCTCACAAAACAGGTGCCAGTAGCAGCAGACACATATGTTTTCATTCAGCTGTTCTCAGAACAGCCATTTCTGACCACATGAAGCAACCCATGATTTCAATGGCTCAACAACTGTCTTTCATTCTTCCAGTGAGAACTTTGCTAGGCCATTACTATAGACATAGCAGAATCCAAGTTAGGTAGGAAAATATTTTCAAAGTCCTCCACATTAAACAGTGCTATGGCTTCAGGACAACCTATCCCATCACAGTGCACAGGCCCAGTACCCGCTTGGGCTTGTCCTATTGTTAGGGAGGAAATCCAGTCCTGGAGTCTACAGCAAGCCCAGGAGGCAGCACCTTCCCGCATCTCTTCCGAGGCTTATTCACATGAGTTAAGTGGGCATACACTAATTAATCATTACCTGCACATTTCTGGATCTAAAGTCGGTTTAGTTTCTTTTGCGCCTTCTGTAGCTTGTGTATCTTGTATTTTTGAGAAACGCTCATGGAGAGTAATGCCAGGTGATGGAAAATGATTTGCTGGGGGGGGGGGGGAGAGAAAGTTTTATCTCAGTGTAAAACTGATTGCTTTTAAAAGATTATATATATAAGCACAGGAAGAAAGGATTATTAAAAATCATCCAAACTGTTTTCTCTTGAAAATATGTGGGACCTAACATTCCACAGACTAATTCGTAGTGCTGTCATGCTTTCTCAAGCCCAAGCAATACTAACAAACCTGATTTATTAAACCATAGATGCTGTTCCTATTTGGCATGCCTGCTTACTTATTGGGGATAAAGACAGTAGCTTCCTCAAAGTGAGGAGCTTTCTCCTCCAAGACAGGAACTACTTACTGTAATTGAGAAGCTCTAATTCACCTCAAGTGAAAAGTAACTCTAAAAACAACTCAGAAATATAAAAATTATTCTGAATAAATGTTAAATGCTATGTTTACATATCACAGAAGGCCTCCTAATGCCATTGAACATTAATGGAAGTTCATGAAGACATTCTGAAATCAGCTATGCTGCAGGCTTTTAACAGGATAGAGAGAAAGATAACACACTTGACTCATCAGAATGCTACTTAAACAAACATTTTTCCTAACTTGCAGTTATTGTTCTGCAATGCCAGCTCCCTTTCTGCCAAGAATCACACTTCCTTTGGGTAAGAGGGGCTGGAACTAAGAAGGCAAATTGTTTTAGACCTTATATTTCTAAGTAAATATATGCCTTAGTTCGAGGGATGCAGATAAAATAATTCATTTTTGAAATATATTTTTATGAATGTAAGAAAAGATTAATGCAATTATCTAGTGAGATATATAAAATAAAAATTTTGGAATTCTCAAAGGTGTCTAGTTTATAATACCCATAATTGCCTTATTTATGCAGGATCATTTAGGAAAGTTGTTCTACATGACTAATTTTTCAATTAATAGAAATTGGCCAGCATAACAAAACAAGTAAATGCAAATCTTTAAAGTAGGTATTATGCAACTCCCTAATGTTATAAAGCATGCCAAATCAAGCTGGAATCTTTTATTGATCACTAAGCATCACCCTCCTGGCACAAAGTCCTATATCACCAGCCCAGCCTGTGTGGTGGCTCAGTTGATTGTCATCCCATGAATTAGGAGGTCTCAGACTCCATTCTTGGTCAGGGCACATGTCTGGGTTACAGGCTCATTCACCAGATGGGGTGTGCAGAAGGCAGCCAATCAATTTTTCTCTCTCAATGATGTTTCTATCTCTCTCCCCTTTTCCCTTCCTCTCTATGAAATCAAGAAAAAGTATTTTTTTTAAAAAAGAATATCACCAGCTTTTTAAAAAATATATATTTTATTGATTTTTTAAAGAGAGGAAGGGAGATGAATAGAATTAGAAACATCAATGAGAGAGAAACATCGATCAGCTGCCTCCTGCACACCTACTGGGGATGTGCCCGCAAACAAGGTACATGCCCTTGGCTGGAATCAAACCTGGGACCTTTCAGTCCGCAGGCCAAAGCTCTATCCACTGAGCCAAACTGGATCAGAATTCTTATTTCATTTTTTTTGTTGTTGCTTCCTCCTTCATGTTCCGTTATCAGTTATTTTTTCTTGCTGCTCCAATTCACAGGTCTTTTGCAGCAGGCAACCTCTCCCTTTGTAACTTTTGATTTATAATTTACTATGAGTTGAAGCACCAGGTTATTGGAACTATATATAAAGCATAACTAGGCCTAGGTGTCATGCTACCTTGAGAGTCTAGTACTTTTTAAAATAATACTTAAACAACTAGGCTTGAATTAATATCTGCTACTCTCTTCAATAGATTTGCTAATTAATGATCTAGCTGATAATTAATATGAATTACTATTACAATATCACAGATGATTTCCTATATCTCGTGAAAAGTCAGTACATTATTCTTGTGTTACCCCTAATGTATGTGCAAAATATACCAACCTTTAATTTCATGAATTACAGTTATGATTTCCTGAGCAAATTCTCCTGCAGCTTTGTTTTCAGTATTCTGAGTTGAGTCAAGTTGTTCAAAGGCTGGATCCAAGTCCTCACTTTTCCTGCCAACAGCAACCAGATCACGTGACATCTGCCTCTCTGTCATGCTAAAAGGAATGCTAGGATAATTTTTAAGTATAAATTTGAAAGTATTTTACTGAGAAAAACACTTACTAAAAATTAATCAAGATATCTATAAAACTAAAAAGATGTTTATCTTTTGTTATAATTAAAGCACTACATTGTATGCCATAAAATGTGTACAATGATGTGAAGAAAATAGCTATAGATGCATGGTTTTGAGTTATTTTCAAATCAGAGATCATAAAATATTTGCCACTTTAATAAGAATCTCAAAATACTGAGTTAAATAATTTTTACTTTAACAATACAGCAAAGCATTAAATACACTCTATATGCAAAAAATAATCAATTACATTTTCTACTCCCAAATATCCATAAAATTATAAATCCAGCAAGCTTATAGTATCTTAAAATACCACACTTTAAAAGCTGTTATCCTACATAATAACTTCTCTGACTTCACTGAAATCCTTCTATCTCTATATCAGTAATGAGAAGCTTAGAATAATATTTTGAAATTAAATTCTGTTGAAATTAATATAATTACTTAGAAAATCTTACTAAACTCTCAGAAAATAGTCTCAGTTGTTAGCAAAGTTATGATCATTAGAACTAATTATAGTGTTTACCCTAAATATATCCTTAAAGAAATGCTACTGTTTATTATATAAACCCAGCTATCTTACAACTTTAATGCTTTCTGAATCTTTATAACTTTCATTAAGAGCTCTCCTTACCCTTAGGTACCATTATAAAGCTATTATTATGACACATAGCTAACAATTATTGAGAGCTTACCGTATGCCAAACACAGGGGCTTAGAGCTTACAAATATGATGTCATTTCATCTTTACAACAACCCTATGGGGAAGTGTCATGGCACTGAGTTCATAGATATCCAGATTATTTTACTTTACATGCCTGAAGTCAAGCATTCATATGAACATAATTCTTCCAAGTGCCCTAATGGGAAACTAGATCTTATTTCAAGAATGCTACTCTTGCTTAAAACCACTCTTAAATTCTTCATCTGGAGGCAGCTTATGTGTCAGAGAAGAAAATGTCTCATGTTATCTTTATACCTCATTTTGAACACAAAATGGCACTAACCAGCTTACACCCATCTTATTCCTCTGCACTTAACTCTAAGTAGCTTTGGGCTCTTGCCAAAAATCAAGTTCACTGTCCAAATATTTGAGATCTATACCTGCTAGGGTACTTTATGAGTATGCTACAGGCTCTGAAGATACATCCAAGAGAAAAAAAATGTAATATCTATAATAAAAGCATAATATGCTAATTAGACCGGACGTCCTTCCAGACAACCTTTCAGAAAAAGCCAAAGCTGGGGCTGCGAGACAAGCCCAGGTTCTGGGTGCTGGAGGGAAGCCAGTGCCAGTAGCTGGGGGAAGGAAGGCCTACTCTTGCATGAATTTTATGTATCAGGCTTCCAGCGTTTTAGGTAACAGCAGCATAGATCCCATCTTCTTGGTTGGTACCTTCTCCATCAACAAAGCTTTCCTTACTCCAGAAAACCAACCAAGCAATCAATAAATAAATACAGCAGCACCATTGGAAAAAATGATACTTCTTCATATAATAAAAACCAACCAAATGGATACATTTGGGGGTATGAGTGTACATGTGCACAGATTTACTTATTTGCTTAAGTCACATAAAAGACATATACCCAAAACTGTTTCAGGATTATGAAGGGCTTACAGATGTTCTTTTTAGAGAGAAACATCAATTGGTTGCCTCCCATTTGTGCCGTGAATGGGGATTGGACCCACAACCTGGGTATGTGCTCTGACTGGGAATCGAATCCGAAACCTTTTGGTGCAAGGGACAATGCTCCAATCAACTGAAACACCCAGTCAGGCCCATATTTTTTAATTAAAAATTTTCATTCCTGCTCGGCTGTGTGGCTCAGTGGTTGAGCATTTACCTATGAACCAGGAGGTCACGGTTCAATTCCCAGTCAGTGAACATGCCTGGTTTGCAGGCTCCATTCCCAGTGGGGGGCATGCAGGAGGCAGCTGATTAAAGATTTTTCTCTCATTATTGATGTTTCTATCTCTCCCCTCCCTTCCTCTCTGAAATCAATAAAACGTGTTTTGTTTTGTTTTTAATTTCCCTCCTCTAACAAGATGGTTTTAAGTGCCTATTTTTAACTTATCCGAGGAAAGGCTACCATCTGACTTTCTGTACTCCCTGCTTTCAGATCAGCACTGTTGAGACAACTCCCCGCCAAGGCAGAACATGGAGAAGTGACTATACAGCAGGTTGATGCCACTGCCGTGGATTCCTTGATTCATTAAAAAGATGTTCATGAGCCGAAACAGGTTTGGCTCAGCGGTAGAGCTTCGGCCTGCGGACTGAAAGGTCCCAGGTTCGATTCCAGTCAAGGGCATGTACGTTGGTTGCGGGCACATCCCCGTAGGGGGTGTGCAAGAGGTGGCTGGTCGATGTTTCTCTCTCATTGACGTTTCTAGCTCTCTCTCTCTCTCCCTTTCTCTCTGTAAAAAAATCAATAAAATATATATTTTTTAAAAAGATGTTCATGAGAAGGCCTATTTCCCTTCTTTTCTAATTTGCTCCAAGCTTCCTATTGTGTATCTGATAACTAGCTAAGAGGCATTTAGTGATAAGAGCTAGAAGCTAGAATGGCCCTGTAACATGTAACAACCTTCACTAACAAAACCTATAAATGCTCTGTTTAAAGGGTCTTTATGGTACAAAAAGCCTGCCATACCAGGGAATAACATAGCTTTTAAAAATATTTTATAGACGAAAAATAAGACATTTAAATACAACTATAAGAATATATCCATAAGAGGGAATCAATTGTTAAGTTTTTATTATAGCCTCAGTTTCTCCCAAGAGGAAACAAGTTGATAAATGCTTTCAGTAATTATTAAAATTTACATGTAATTTATTATTCCTGGCATAACTCTTATACCCACTCTATGCCCGACCCTCAATACATAGGAGTAATGTGGTATGCAGTGAAGCTATATTTAATTCCTCAAATATTAGTGTTTCAACTTGCTATCGGTTAAAAAATGTATCCCAGGGTTACTCCACTGCAAGATTATTAATAAAAAAATGTTAAAATAATTACTTTCTAGAAAATATCCATGAAAATAATATAACATAAAATTTTAGATTTTTATTTTATTTTTTAAATATATTTTATTGATTTTTGTACAGAGAGGAAGGGAGAGAGATAGAGAGATAGAAACATCGATGAGAGAGAGTCATCGATCAGCTGCCTCTTGCACACCCCCTACTGGGGATATGCCCGCAACCAAGGTACATGCCCTTGACCAGAATCGAACCCGGGACCCTTCAGTCCCCAAGCCGACACTCTATCCATTGAGCCAAACCAGTCCCGGCAAATTTTAGTTTTTTAAAGACAATTATGTTTTTGCTGTATTAGAAACCTTCTTGAGACTTGAGAATAAAAAATGTTCTAGCTATTTACATTTATAAATTTAATCACCTTAGTTCACATTTTCCTTTTTACTATTTCCTGTGACATTATTGATGAGCAATTTAATAATTTCAGGAAATATCCCTAAGACAAGTAGCTAAACTTAAAAGACCAAATATTCACTGAGATGAATTTTAGACAGTTAAAAAACTAAAATATAGCACTAGCTGGTGTGGCTTAATTAGAGCATTGTCCCATGCACTGAAAAGGTTGCGGGTTTGGTTCTTGGTCAGGGCACATATCCAGGTTCGTGAATTAAAAAAAAAAAATTAAATATAGCCAAATATCTGTATTTTAAACTGGTCTGATTACATCTCAACCCCTCCCCATTTTTTCTGTTTAATGATATTTTCCCTTATGTTCTGAGTGTTATACATAATAAATAAAAAAACATAAAAAGCTACATTAAACCTTAATTTCCTCTTATATACAACTAAGATTCATTAAAAAACAAAAAACACCACTGCATGGCAAAACAACAGTAATAAAAATAAAAATAAAAATCCTGCCCTGGCTGGGTTGCTCAATGGATAGAGCACTGGCCTGTGGACTACAGGGTTCCAGGTTCTATTCCCAGTCAGGGCACAGGCCTGGGTTGAAGGCTTAATCCCCAGTAGGGAGTGTGCAGGAGGCAAGTGATCGATGATTCTCTCTCATCATTGATGTTTCTCTCTCTCCCTCTCCCTTCCTCTCTAAAATCAATAAAAATATAAACAAACAAACAAAAATGCTGCCCTTTAGAAGCTTGTAATAGGTAACAAAATCCATAAAACACATAAGGTTTTCTTTTCTTAGTTTTCTCCCAAATATAATTAACATTTTGTACATAAATTCATAAAGCACTTTCCCAACTATTAATTCATAAATAATTATTAATTCGCTCCTGTCTTCTGAAGAACACATTTAGAATTTTGGGGATTGAGAGAAAAAGAGTTAGGGAGACTGCTACAGCCTTAATTGTGCATCTCATTATTTGTTTCACAGAAGTCCCCTCACTGGCCTTGCCAACTCCAATGTCCTCCACGCCTCCTCAGAGGTGCTCCCCTGGCAGCAGAGCTGAGCCACCTGTCCTCTCCGATCAGCTAATCCTGTCAAATCAGGCTGGTGCGTGGGGGTCCTGCCTTCACAGCCTCCTGTACCTCCACAGTCCCTGCGTGTGGTTTCTGCCTTTGTTAATCTATAAACATGAAATGTCCTTCATCTTGTCATCACGTGTCTAAAACACACCTAAACCTTCAAAGCCTAGCTTTGTGTCAACTCCTGAAAGTCTTCCCTAAGTCTCCCAGCTGGTAATCACTGGAGTGGGACACCACGTCATACATCACTCACTACGCCAAGGTATTACCAACAGCGTCCTATTGTCTGTGAGACCAGAGGAGAAGAAGCCTAATCTTAGGCCCATCTAGTCCCAGGGTACCCTGATAGGCTGTCTCAGACACGGTAGATCATCAAAAGACACCTGCTGAGTGAATAAATGATAAACAGAAAATGATTTAGATAATTTCAAATGAGAGTCTCCGCTTAAAGATTAACAGACTTCCAAATTCTAATGAAGCCAATTTAATTCTGTTTTTTTAACTTTCTTGGCTTACTTTTTATTTTCAAAATTTTACTTAATTTAGAGCAATTTAAAATTTAATTTTTTTATAATATAGAATCTCAAATATACACAAAACTTCAGAGAATGCTATGATGAGCCTGTCAATCCAACTTCAATAGTTACCGGCCAATTGGAGCAGACTCACATAGCCAGGAGGAAATGCGGGTTAATTTGGGCCCAAAAAGGCATGGCCAGTTGGCCTGCCCAATGTCACAGAACTACTCAGTGACCCTCCAGGAGACAAAAACCTATGTACCCCACCCCCAAACAGAATGTTCACCTCCCTATATTAGAACCCTTGAGAACCACTAGGAGAAGCTAGGGTGATAGAAATAAAAGGGAATCTTCTCTCTATTAATTTTTTATTATATATGAAATATTTTAGGGAGGAAAAGCCTTACTTTTTGGTGATAGATAACAGTGAGGTAGCAGGCTTATATATCACACAAATATCTCCACCCACAGCTGCTTCCGCCTCCAGCTGAACAGTGCCTAGCACAGGCAAACTTGAGTGATTAGGTTACCTTCTTTCAGTCCTCGCTATGGCTTTTTACACTGTTCCCCCACCTACAATGAACCCCTTTCCTCAGATCACCAGGGCTCCAACGTCTTCTGAGGCCTATTACCCACCTCACCCCCTTTCAGAATGGGAAAAGATAAGATGGGGGTAGGGAGATCCTCTTTGTTTTCCTTTCATAAGAAATAAAAGGATTCAATTGTGGCTAATATGCTTAGTCCAGTATCAACTTTGCTAGCCAACCTTCCCATCCTAGATATCTAACACCAGCATCAGGGAGGGGAGAGGAGCCTCGGGCCCATCTGCACCAGCTATTCTTCTCCAAAAACAGGCATTCCCTGCTCCTCCCTCCACTTCCTTCCTACCACTGAGCCCAGCATTAAGCCACAACTCTATCTGCCCCAAGACTTCCAGATGTACACAACAGGTTTTTTTTGGGTTCATACTGTGACTCCCTAACTTACGTTCTGAAACATATAATTATGAGACATATATAACTTCTACCTCTGATGATGCAGTTTCTGACAAAGAGGGTCACTAGAATTATGCAGTGATCATTCAAATAAGTATCTATTTACTGCTGCTCTACATACAAACTGGAATCTAGAAAAATTACTAGGTGATAGCCATATGTTTTCAACTAAATGTGTCAATACTTGACCAAGGCTATGAAAACAAGTCACAAAATGAACCATCTTAATCTTTCCCAAGAAAGTGGATAAACGCTCTAGATTTTAACCAACATACTTCTCCCCCCACTCTAGGAGCAGTTTAATATTTGTAAGTAGAGGAAAATCTAATGTATAGTAATAGTTGAGAACATGACTCTACTGAGGTTGGCATTAACTACTTTTGTTTTATGGATACTTCATTAGTCCATACATAATTCAATCCAACCCCACAAAACTCTTCCACAACTCATTAGCCAATAAATAATTACAACAAAAAAAGTTTGTTGAGCATTATGCTTTAGCAGACTGAAAAGATGCATATAGTTATTAAGTTATTCATTCTTCAGCTTTTTTAATAGAAAGGATTTTTAGTGGAAGATTTTTATTATATAAGCCATCTTTCAGGTTCTTGTCAGGTAATTCAAACATGCTGACAGGCCCCACTGTTAGGCCATGAAATTTCACAAAATTATAGTTTATAAATTCACAAATACCTGGGTTACAGGTTCTAAACTTGCCCCAGGTTGGGTCACATGTGAGAGGCAACCAATAGATGAGACACACTGATGTTTCTCTCTCCTCCCTCTCTCTCTCCCTGTCTCCCTACTCCCTTCCACTCTCTCTAAAAATCAATGGGAAAAATATCTTCACTCTTTGGATGAGGATTAAAAAACAAACAAAAAGCGCTACAGCCAATTTTTCTCTTTTAAGTATAAAATACTTCATTATTAAATGTGGGGGTATCATTACTTTTATAAAAGGATTCAAGACATTTTATGTTTTGATTATATGTAATTTTACATCAAAAGAAAAAAACTATAAACAAAAATTAAATAGTGAAGTATTTAAAAGGGAGTATACTGATATTTGCAATTCATTTGAAATGCATCAAAAAATAAGATGGAACAACAGATGAATAGATATGTGATTATAAAAGTAGAGCAAAATATCAATTGTAGACTCTAGGTGGTGGGTATATAGGTGTTCAATGTATAATTCTTTCAACTTTTCTGTGTATCTGAACATTTTCATGATATAATGTTGGAAAGAAAAAGAGCTTAACATCTCTAAATTTGATGTTTATAGCAGCCTTTGTGTTCTTAAAATGAAGAATAGAAAATATAATAGCACACAATACCTTAAGGTAGGGGTGTCGAACTCAATCAGAGAAGGGGCCAAAATCTAAAATCCAGCCTAAATCGCGGGCCGAATGGTTTACTGAACAGTCATAAACTGTCATTGTCATTGTGATGGAAACGCAGCGGAGTGCAGTGATGACAGCGCGGTGCGGGCCACATTGCAAGGCCTGGCGTGACGGATTTGGCCCGAGGGCCTTGTGTTTGACACATGTGCCTTAAGGCATATTATATGAAATAGAATATAAAATTATTAATACACTAGAGGCCCAGTGCATGACATTCGTGCACTGGGGGTCCCTCAGCACAGTCTGCACCCTCTCGCAGTCCGGGACCCTGAGGGGTCCTTAGCGCTGCCTCAGAGGCGGAGAGGTTTCTGCCACCCCCAATGCACTCGCCATCCATGGAACGGCTTCTGGCTGAGCGGTGCTCCCCCTCTAGGAGCGCAATGACCACCAGGGGGCAGCTCCTGCATTGAGCGCCTGCTCCCTGATGGTCAGTGCGCATCATAGGGACCAGTCATTCAGCCATTGGGTCGATTTGCATATTAGGGCTTTATTATATAAGAGGATTAATATGACAATCACATAAAATATACATAGAAAATAATTAGAGGAATTGTACTAAAAAAAAAAAAGAGGAATTGTACTAAAATATTAATAAAATTGTCCTAGGATTATGGATTATTTTCCCATCTGTATGTGTCTTTCTGTAATTGTACTTGTATATGTTTTCTACGCACATATAAATATACATATGTATATTTTGCAAGTGCAAAAACAAATGAGGGAGAGGGACTGCCATGCCTAACTTTAAGAAAAAGAACAAAATAGTTTTTGTAAAAAAAAAAAAAAAGGGGGGGGGGGTGTGACTTTGGATTTACTTAATTCCCTGTCACATCTTAAGCTTGGATTTTGTTTCCTCTTGTTTTTTATTCAAATAGATATGTCAACTCTGAAACTAAAATGTACCAAATCAATGTGGTCTATCACTTTTGTTTTTTTGTTTTTATTGGTTTCAGAGAGGAAGAGATAGGAAGAGAGAAACAGAAACACCCATGATGGGAGAGAATCAATGATCAGCTGCCTCCTGCATGCCCTCCACTGGGGACCAAGCCCATAATCCCCAGCACACCTTGACCGCAATCGAACCTACCAGGAATCAAACTGTGACCCACAGATGATGCCCAATCACTGAGCCATCACTTATTTTTTATTCAAAAACAGATATATGAGTCAACGGTGAACATAAATGCACCAAATCAACATGGTCCATCACTTTTATCCACATACTGGTGGTGTATTAAAGTAATGAACAGACTTAACTGAAATAGCCAAATGCAGTGCCTTATTCTCAGAATTCATAAAGAGAAGTAATGTTCATAATGCAAGAAAGCATGCAAACCGCTTTAGTAGAATATAACCTATTACAGCAGTAGTCTATTTTTTAAATCATTAGAGCTAAACCAAATATGTTATAAATAGGCCTCTTTCTAGACTCTAGCCTAATTCCCTATACCTAGGAGAACCTAGCAGGTTGAGTGAGCCCCAGTCTTTTTGAGATGGCATCAAGAACCACGCTAAGTCACCAGCTTCTTTGAGTCACAAGGGATTGCACAGATTTGAGACCCAGGCACTCTGACTTAAACAAGTCGCTTCATATCGCATGGCCTCACTCTCAGGCTCTATAAAATCAGGGCCTTCAAAGGTCCCTTCCAGGTAAAAATTCTCTGAATTTCAGGCAATAGGGAAAATAGGCTCTGAGAAACTGAGCAAGGAACAGGTCTCCTTGAACTCCACCCAGCTTATCCTTGAATACAGAGAACCTAGAAGCATAATTACATGCAAATTAATGAAGAACAACTCCATAGGATGCTCTGCCCCAAAAAAGCATCTGAAGATACAACGTGGAAACAAGCAAACGTATCAGCTCATATTACTAATCATGAGATTCATCCTCATTAAAGGGCTTTAAAAAAAAAAGTCTAGGCAATTCCTCCTCCTTAATGGACTCTAAACACACTAATTTCATTTTCAAAGCTTCTAATAAAGCTGGCAAAATAGATATTAAATATAATAAAAAAAAAAAACACCAAGATAATACCTGGGTGTATTTACTGTTTTCTTCACATCTATTTTAACTATAAGTGATTTTGATTTCTTCCGAAGACTAGCAGATGAATGTTTCGTTTCATCAAATTGGTTACTGGAAGAGTTCTTCTGTCTTTTGCCATCCCTTCCTCTGTTCTTTTTCCTCTTCCGTTTGCCATTATAGGGTCTCAAAATAACATTGCTTTTATCTGAGTCAGTAGAGGGAGTATAGTCATTCTTAAATGGTTCAGAAGCTTCTTGGACTTGCCCATCTTCAGTCTCTCTGTCTCTTCTAGCATTAACATAGCTGGGGTGTATTTTTGCCAGGCCAATTTGAGAAAGGCATTTTCTGTCTTTCTCCTTAGAGAATTTCTCAGTTCGTCCATCAGAAAAGCCCTGGTCCTCATCTGAGGTCTTATGATGTTCGTGGTGATAGTCCCTGGTTACTGAACTGGCCTCTGGGGGCTTCCTGTGGGCATGTTGATGAGCTCTATGTGCTCGGTGTTGAAGGTGCCACGGCTCTTTCTTTTGTTGGTAAGGTGAAGGATTATGCCTGGATCTCCGGTGTGAGTTTCTAGAAGTGTCATTGTTTTCAAACCTCTTCTCGCCTAAAGATCTTTCGGGTGCCTGTCTATATTTTCTGCAATCGCGATCTTCAAGATACCTGTGGTGACATAAAGCAATTTATACTTCGCACTACAGAGAAGAAAGCAAGAACTTCTATCTGTGGAGTATTGGGTAGCATGGCTTTAAATGGAGAATGCAATGGCAAGGTTACCCTCTAATCCTTCATGCCAACTCACAGAGGCTCAAGCTAGTTAGAGAGGGAATACCATTTCATTTTTAAACTAAAAAAATAAACTAGTAGCCCTGCGCACGTGTGCCAGTAGGTCGCTGCTGCCCTCCTGTAGCCCCCCCTCCACTTCATAGCTTGCTGCCCTGCCCCCTCCAGTAGATCTCAGCCTCCCGCTTGCTTGCCCTGTACTGTAGCTATCCACTGCCCCACCCTCCTGCAGATCGGTGATCCGTTTGTTATGCAATTGGTCGTTAAGTATGAGGCTTAACGGATCATTAGCATGTTCCTCTTTTATTATATAGGATGTTCTAGCTATCCACATGATTTATTCTAAAAAGAAATATTTTACTACTACCTGTAGACAGCTACATTGCAATGCTTTTGATCTTTTCAGACAAAAGCTTTTCAAGGTGGTTGTCTTCAACTATAAACACACCTTTTTACTTGAGGCTTTGTACCAAATTACCCAGGTTTCATTTATCCTGTACCTTGTCTGAAAAGCGCTCCGTTTCTCAAAATCTTCCAAGCCTCTTCTAAGTGACTGACAATGTTTTTCATCTTGCATCCTCTGGTGACTCGACTCATCTTCATGCCACTTGTCTTCCAATCTCAAAGAATCTGCCATTGACCTCTGCGATGATTGCCCTCCTTTTCCACTTCTAACTCTGTGCTCAGAAGGAGGATACCCTCCTTGCATTTTCTCAGGATAACCCCAGCCATACTCTTGGTAGTGTACATCTTCTGAGTATCTGGACGGATACTGAGATCTGCTACTGTCTCTTCTTCTTGGTGAATATGCTTGGTAAAGTTTATTAGAATAAAAATCGTCTGGTGAGCTTCTTCTTGCGTCTGGAGAAGGGGCTCTCTGTTCATAACATCGGTAATGTGCATCTTCACGAGAAGGAAGCCTTGGTTTACTCTGGACGTGTTTCTTGTGGCTCATTCTGATCCACAGATCCTTCCTATGGTCGGAGCAATAAGGCTCATTAGAACATATTTGCTTGGAGTGTTCAGAATTTCTAGGTATCAGTGATAAAGATCTATGTAAACACAAACAAAAGTTCAGTTCATTTAAAGACAATAAATTAAGTTTGTCTTAACATAACTTGCCAAAATTTGTTTTCCACTGTTTCTTCAACTCAAATTAAATTCATGAATTTGCTCTAGCTGCATTCTAAATTGCCCATGCGGGGGTCAGATTATACTTACCCCAATTCAACAAACATACTCTTTCCATCTGAACGAATGTATCCCACGGCATATTAAAATGGGCTGAGCACACCCTCCCGCTGGATTAGCTATGCAGCAGGATCCATTTTTGGAAGATTGCTGACAGCAAAGGTCTGTCAAAAGGACTGGTCAGCAAAGCTTGCGTCAGGTTCAATGGGCAGTTAGGAGAAAAGCAGAAGTATGCCCTGGCTGGGTTGCAGCACCTGTGGGTTCCAGACAGGCACAAAGCCAGGTTGCAGGCTCAATCCACTCTCAGGGCAAGTATGGGAGGCAACCAATTGATGTTCCTCTCTCACATCAGTTTCTTTTTTTTTTTTCTTTTTTAAATATATTTTATTGATTTTGTACAGAGAGGAAGGGAGAGAGATAGAGAGTTAGAAACATCGATGAGAGAGAGTCATTGATCAGCTGCCTCTTGCACACCCCCTACTGGGGATATGCCCGCAACCAAGGTACATGTCCTTGACCGGAATCGAACCCGGGACCTTTCAGTCCCCAAGCCGACGCTCTATCCATTGAGCCAAACCAGTTTCGGCTCTCACATCAGTTTCTAACTCTTTCTCACTCCGTTCCTCTCTCTCTCTCAAATCAATAAGAACATATCCTTGGGCGAGGATTAAAAAAAGAAAAAGAAAAAAATCAATAAAATATATTTTAAAAAAAGCAAGCAAGAAAGAAAGAAAGAAAGAGAAAAAGGCAGGAGGGCTGGATTCATACAAATAAATATGTAGTAGAATCTGGCAAACGAAACAGCCTCTGAAATTAAAGAGTTTGATGCCACATAAACTCAAACTCAGACCCAAAACCGACCCCACAGTTTCTCCAATTGACTACCCTCTCTAATAAGTCTGTATTAAGGAGCAGAAACTACATACTTAAACGGTGTGTGGAGGTGCGGGAAGAAGAGGGTCTTAAGACTTGCATCTCATGCTTGGTTCCTCCATAAATATTAGATATAGGTAGGTTGCTTTTTTCTCCCAGATCTATTCCCTTACACATAAAAGACGTGCTGCTGAAACACAGCTTGTAACTTCGGTGAATGTGTGCTTTCATGCTGCTATCACGCTCCCCAGGGACAGCAGCACAGCCTTTCTGTAACGCCCTTTTCTAACACCCAGCATTGCCAACGCCCAGCCTTTCACTCCCACTGTCGAGGAAGACGTCCGTATCCAGAGAAGCCAGCCAACCCGAGTCACCTGGACTTCAGGATGAGAGAGAGGAGCACCACTATCTGGAGGACAATGAAGTTCAATGTTGCACCTGGGGCTGTTTCCTCCCATCTGACCTGTGCCGACTCCCCATCTCCTCCCTGAGGGTTTAATTATCTTCTAACCCTTGCAGTTTTCGTCATCACTCCATCTTCAGATGCTGCCTCAGAGTTGAAAAACAAAAAACATGAATAAAACTCTTTCTAAGCAGCAGCTGCCAGGCTGGGAGTGGCCAGGCCCGGAGCAGCCGGGTATTGTGCGGCCAGGCCCGGAGCAGCGGCTGCCAGGCTGGGAGTGGCCAGGCCCAGAGCAGCCAGGTCTTGTGCGGCCAGGCCCGGAGCAGCGGCATCCAGGCTGGGAGCGGCCAGGCCTGGAGCGGCCAGGCCCGGAGCAGCTGGGCCCAGAGCAGCCGGGTCGGGTGCGGCCAGGCCCGGAGCAGCAGCTGCCAGGCTGGGAGTGGCCAGGCCCAGAGCAGCAGCTGCCAGGCTGGGAGCGGCCAAGCCCGGAGCAGCGGCTGCCAGGCTGGAAGCAGCCAGGCCCAGAGCAGCCGGGGCGGGTGCGGCCAGGCCCGGAGCAGCAGCAGCCAAGTCCAGAGCAACTAGGTTGGGAGCGGCAGTGACCAGACCCAGAGCAGCTGGTTGTGGAACGAACCAGAGCAACAGAGGCCAGGCCCGGAACAGCTCGCTCCTCGCCTGCCCCTGCCCCACGGCTGCCTCTCAGACATGGCTAGAAACTTTTGGAGGAACTTGAGGGTCTGCTGAATCAAGTGATGAAGGCTTAGATCTGGATGTGTTGAGTTAGTATAGGGCTGGGGTGTTGATCTGTGAGTGCCTTGGGTGGGGCCTGGATGAGGCTGGTTGACCTATTTGGAAATGTCTTTTGTGTGAAGTGTATCTTTGGGCATGTTTAGGTATTATTGCTATGAGAAAATGCTAAGTAACTGATTTACTATCTGAAAAGGGATTTACTATCGGGGAAAGGGAGGGAGGAAGAGACTGAACATAAACTGTGCACCTATGGATGAGGACAATGGGGGATGGGGAGGGGGCGGAGGGTGGGGTGGGAACCTGGTGGAGGGGGGAAGAAATGAGGAACCTTTGTAATAATATGAACAACAAAGATTGATTAAAAAAACAAAAACAAAAAAAAACTCTTTCTACTTGGTGACCTGTCTGTGTGCTCCCTACACGGAAGGAGGCAGGTTTGGTTTTCTCATGCACATACTGGGATTATATACTGGAGTCAGCAGTATCTCCCTCTAAAATCACCAAGCTACATGGACCGGCAGGTTGCTGTATAGCTGAAGCAGAAGCTCTGTCATCAGCTGGCTGCACTCATCAGCACAGGAAGAAGCAACTGGAGCCTCTGAGGACTTCCTGGAAGATTTCATTTCTTCCACCGCTAGGGAGAAGAGCTGGCAGCCAGGAGCTGAGGTCTTGAATTGGGACAAAGTAGTCCATCTCTTACTTTAAGCCGTGCTTCCCACTGAATACACATTGACTTTTTTTTTTTTTCCACTTCAGGATTTTATTGAATAGAGCCCCTTTCTTCCGGAGGAGACTGCTGGACTGGTTGCTAACATTTTCAGTTCTCCTAAAGGGAACAGAAGGCACCCAAGGAGTCTATTGGGAGACAATCTTCTATGGGTCTCTCCCGTTCTGCACACCTCGTGAGCAGAGGCACTGCCAGCTTTCATTCTAAGACAAACAGCCGGGGAAGATGGAGCCAGGGAGGCTGTGGGGCAGAGGGCTGATGTGTTTGCTATCCAGGATCATAAGATAATGTCTCCTCCAAGGCCAAAGCCCCTCATGGGACTTAGGTTCCTCGGCTATGCCTTCACCCCACTGCTTTGTTCTGCAGCGCCCAAGCTCAGGGGGTGGAGGGTGAGGGGAACACAGGAGCAGGGAGCTCAGGCTGCCTGCTGTACTCTGAGTTGTAAAGGCCTTTGCGTCTGCTCGAGGAGGGTCTTGTGACAGCTGATGTGCCAGCTTGCAAGTGGGGGGAAATACTGGACTCCTTACTGTTTTTCAAAGCCCTGAGAAGGAACCCAGGAATCAGGCACTAAGCTTGGCAGGCTCTTTTGTGGCCCCTCACCAGTGCCTACCACAAAAGGGCAACACCAAATGACCTCTGTGATGCCCTCCAAGTTAAAATCATTCGCTTCTTTACGTCCCCCCACCCGTTTTTGAAGGTCCTTCCCACTACAATTTAGTCCTGTGACGTCGAAATTGAAATTGTTGAAGAAATGATTGATTAGTCACTGTAGAACCACCATGAGGCAAGCACACTGCCAAGTCGCATTACCATGAAAAACCTCGGCCTGCCTTTGGTGTATGTAATCATGGCCCTTCTTATGAGTCCCGGAATGTACTAGTCACTTTCATAGCTCTGTGCCTTTGCTCATGTGTCCCCCTTAACTGAAATACTTTTCTTCTCTCTTTCTGCCTTTAGAAATTTTACTCATCCTTAAGTGACTGAAATCTTATCTCTTCTTCAAAGACTTCCTCAGTATCCCCCTTTCCCCTGCACCAAGGCAGAATTATTTCCTCTCTGTGGATCCAGAGTGCTCTGTCTCAGTCAGTAGCAGCACGCTTTCCCCACAGTCCCATAGCTGACTATGGCGCCAATCTTCCCAGCCAGCCGTGTGCTTGCTGAGGAGCTGTAAGGTACTGCATTTGCTTGTGTAGCCCCAGAAATGGCCTGTAGCAGGTAAACACTAAATATTAGTTGAACCATTGCAATCTAATTATGTATGCGTTTGATAGTACCTACCAGGGAAGAGGAGAGTGAACTACTATTGCGTTATTCAAAATTCTATTATTCTGCCATGAAGAAGAAATAGGCAACTCCCAATTTTCTAACTCCCAATGTCTTCCAACATATTGATTACGAAAAAAATAAATAAAATACACAACCGTAAAGTTCTAAACCACTCTCAAAGATGTTTCTCACTCTCCATTACTGTGGTCACTGCCTTTCTTTTTGTTATGGATGAATTCTAGCTGCCAACCATACTTAAAGAAAGCTGTCAGCTCTTAGAAATACAATCTCTGTCACTGTAAAGCACCTATTGTGATTACCTAGGTCCCAAAAGCTTATTAACATAGGTTCTTAATCATCCTGGTGAATGTGAAAGTCAAAGTACATCTCAAATCCAAGCTTGCCCTGCTAAACTAAAACTGCTCACCGATGGGTCCACTTGGGGGATCTAGAGCGTGACCGTCCCATCCTGTGCCATGTGAGCCACTATCCACTTTATACACTGCAAGGAAACACAGTATTAGCAAGTTTGTAGAAAGAGCCTGCAATCTGTTCTAAAAACAGGGAGGGTCCCAGGTTCAATTCCGGTCAACAGCACGTACCTTGGCTGCAGGCACATCTCCAGTAGGGGGCGTGCAAGAGGCAGCTGATCGATGACTCTCTCTCATGGATGTTTCTAACTATCTCTCTCCCTTCCTCTCTGTAAAAAATCAATAATATATATATATATATATATTTTTTTTTTAAGTGAATGATACCAGGGGGAAAAAGTATTTAATCCCTCTCTGCCTCAGTTTCTTCATCTGTAAAATGAGGATGATAATAACAGGACCCACCTTATC